TTGTCAAATTTATGTTGATGATATTATTTTTGAAACTTCTAATATATCCCTTGGAAAAGAATTTGCTGAGACCATGCAGGCAGAATTTGAGATGAGCATGATGGGAGAATTAAAGTTCTTTCTGGGAATACAAATTAACCAGACTCTAGAAGGTACTTACATACATCAGACGAAGTATGTTAAAGAACTTCTGAAGAAATTTCAGATGTCAGAAAGCAAAGATGCTAAGACACCAATGCATCCAACATGCATTCTGGGAAAAGATGAGGTAAGTATGAAGGTAGATCAGAAGCTCTACAGAGGTATGATTGTATCCCTTCTCTATTTGAATACATCTAGACCTGATATATTATTCAGTGTATGTTTATGTGCTAGATTCCAATCAGATCCTAGAGAATCTCACTTAACTGCTGTTAAGAGAATTATGAGGTATCTGAAAGGTACTACTAATCTGGGTCTGTGTTACAGAAGATCAAAAGAATTCAGACTAGCAGGTTATTGTGATGCTGACTTTGCTGGAGATAAAATTGAAAGAAAGAGCACCTCTGGAAGCTTCCAGTTTCTGGGTGACAATCTTATCTCATGGTACAACAAGAATCAAGCAACAATTGCACTTTCAACAATAGAAGCTGAGTATATATCTGTTGCTGGATGTAGTTCTCAGATGATCTGGATGAAAAGTCAGCTAGAAGATTTTAATCTTTATGAAAGTAAGATTCCTATCTTCTGTGACAATACCTCTGCAATTTGTCTTTCTAAAAATCCCATTTTACATTCTAAAGCTAAACACATAGAAATTAAATATCATTTTATAAGGGACTACATTCAGAAAGGAATTTTAAATTTAAACTTTGTAAAAACAGACCATCAATGGGCTGATATTTTCACCAAACCCCTTTCATAAGATAGATTTAAATTCATTTTGAAAAATATTTGTATGGAATTATGTCCTGAATAAAATTGTATTTATCTTCTGTGTTTGCCTTCAGAATGTTCTGAAATGAATATTCTGATTAACAACTCTTCAGAAGTTAGAAGAGAAGTTACATCAGAAGCTATATATAAAGTTCTGAAATGTTCTAACATTTCACTTCAAGTATAGTTCAGCAGTTCATTATATCAAACAGCTGTCCCATGCAACCTCCAAGAGATGAACACGTGGTGTGTTTCTGAAAGGTCACGCGTGCTAAGCTATTGACGCCGTTCCCAGGTAACTGTTATGATTTGCTCAAATCTCACGCTTTCCCCTCAATTTTCAATATCAGTAAATGCTAAGTAATGATTAGATTCTTTTTAATTAATTTTTTTTTAAAAACTCTTTCATTACCATTTTTCTTCTCTCAACCTAAGTGCTCAAATGACTTCCTCCTCTACTCATTCTAGAAATACCCAATCTGAACAGTACATCATTCCTAAGAGAACTACTATAATTCCAGTGGAAATTCTAGAAGTTATAAGTGAATTGATGGTGGATTTTGATAAACCTAAAAGCAAATGGAAATCTCTATAACTGGAAATCTCATCAGAAAACTATTGGGTTTTGAAGGAAGTGGAGTTTCAAGGATGTGGGAAACGTTCAGAAGAACCTTAGATATTGATTCACTGAAGTTGCAAGACTTATGTCATTCTCAGGTGCTTGAGAACTTCTCCAAACATCTGCATGCCTTCCAGTCAGAAGCTGTTGATATTTAGGACAAGAAGTCTACTCTGATGATTGCTAATGCTCCTGCTGATCAAATGGACATTTCAGAAGATGAGTCTGAAGATGCCTCTGAAGATTCAAATCCTCTGGCAATAGTTATGTTTAATCAACCTTCTGCTAAAGCTGCACCTGAACCTGTGCCAACTTTTATGGTTGATCTAGGCACTCTTCTTTCAACATTTGTTCGTTATGACTCAACGATTTCTACTCCAAAGGCTGTATATGCTGAAGCTTCTTCATCCCCTGCTCCTACTTCACTGGTTATGGAAACTCTGAATGAGCTTTAGAAGGAAAATGAAGTTATTCATGAGCGCTTGGTCAAACAAGATGAGACTAACAAGGGGGAGAAAATGAGTGCTTGTACCTCTGAATCTTTTTTAAAACCTTTACGCTCTTCAATTATTTTTATATACTTTTTGATTATGCCAAAAAGGGGGAGAAAATGAGTATTTTGATCTAATCTATGATTAACAGTTATGGGAAGAAGTCTCAAACATTCTAACAAAATACAAAGATTTCTTTCTATGTTTAAAAGAATTTTGCAGGTATCACTAAACTCTGAAAGTTTAATTCAACTGAACATTATCTTCAAAAGACTTACTGAAGAAATCCTAGAAGAAAATTTCAAAGCTCTGATGAAAATTCTCAGGAAGTTTTTCTTATAGAAATATTTATTTAAGGGGGAGATTCTCATCTCTTGTTCAATTTTATTTCTAAATATGAATATTTTTGTGATCATAAAAAAGGGGGAGATTGTTAGAACAAGATTGGTTCTGATCATATCTCAGAGTTTTGATGATAACAATAAAATATATTTTATATAATTGATACTCTGATGAGCATATTTATTTGTTTCAGATAATGTTCTGACTGATCACTTTGACGTACTGAGCTGAAAATAAATGAATAAGTTCTTTGATGAAAGAACTATTTGTTTTAGCGCAAGTTCTGATGTCGACTCTGATAAGAAACTATTTAATGCATCTTCTAACGCTTAGCAAGTTTTCATGTTCAGAAGTACTTAGCAAGGCAAGCGCTGATCAGAAGTACTTTACAAGCAAGCGCTGATAAGAAGAATTCTGCAAGCAAGCGCTGATCAGAAGATTTGCAAGCATGTTCTGAAGCAAGACGTGAAGCTAGTTCTGAAAGAATATAGAAGCTAACAAGTCTTGTTAAGGTTCAGGAAACATGCTTTGACAAAGTGTCGTTTATTCATTTAATGCAAAGACAGCTACATGCACTCAAGTGTCTACGTTAGTTCATTGGAAAATGCAATACTGCAACAAACACGCAAACATTTATTGCTCTCCACTTTTGAAGGCAGCAACGATCATTTTCTTCATGCTATATATAGAAGATCATTTATTGCAAGCCAACTACTCAACAAATTCAAAAGAGCCCAACTAGGTGAAAATATTCGGGTGCTCAGAAATCATTTTACAAACACTTTGTGCAAAAACTAATCTTAGTGAAAAATCACAGTTTATGATATAGCTTTCTAAGAAGCAATTTGTTTCACTATATGTAAAGATTTAATTCTTGTATTTGTTCCTTGAGAGACCAAGTTTGGTCAGATTTCTCAAGAAGGCTGGGACTAGTTTGAGTCTTAGTGGTGTTAGTCACTTGTAAGTTTACTTGTGCATTATATTGTTAGTCACAACAGTTTGGTTGTGTGATTGTAATCAATTGATTATAGTTAATTAAGTCCTTGTTGAGAAAGGCGAAATCACCTTGGCGGGTGGACTGGAGTAGTTTGAGTTCAAATGAACCAGGATAAAAATAACTGTATCTTTCCATTATTGTTGAGCCTTTAAGAAAAAGAAAAAGAGAAACTTATTCAACCCCCCCCCCCCTTCTAAGTGTTTTCTCACCCTTCATTGTGTTGCAAACTTGTTGTCACTCCCATGACTCACGACACAAGGTTATCCACCAATGCAGACACGCTTTTAACAGATCCTACGCCATACCACAAACTTGTTGGCCAACTAATCTACCTGCTCAATACACGCCCATGCATGTCCTATTATGTTCAATAACTTAGCTAACACATGAGTAATCCCACTGATTTGCATCACCAAGCTGTTGTTCGAGTTCTACGATATCTAAAAAACTATCAAACTCAAGGATTGTGTTTCCCTTCAACTTCATCTCTTCAGCTCAAAGCCTTTTCAGACTCAGACTGGGCAACATGTCTCGATACTCGTAAGTCCATAACAGGTTACTGCGTATTCTTGGGAGATTCTTTGATCTCATGGAAATCTAAGAATAAGCCTATTGTATCACATAATTCCGTAGAGGCATAATATCGCGATATGGCATCAACTATTTGCGAACTTTTAATGGCTAACCAATTTTTTAAAGGAGTTACAGGTTCCCCTCGTTGAACCCTCTCTCTTATACTGTGACAATGCTTTTGTGCGCCACATTGTCTCCAATTCTTTGTTTGATCAGCGCACCAAACACATTGAATTGGACTTCCATCTAGTTCGTGAGAACCTTCAGCTTGGTTTATTTCGTATTCTGCCTATTTCTTCATCTCAGCAAGCTGCAAACATCTTCACAAAACCTTTGAATCTGAAACCTTTCACAGAAAACCTGTCTAAGCTTGGGGTTCACACTATATAACCCACTTGACTCCCTATTTGTAGGAAATTTCTTAATGCACCCTTATGCCTTCTTAGAGATCCTTGCCAAAATTTTCGTAATACTCTCTTAATTCGGATATGCATATCCGAACTCACCACATGCAAGTTTTTAACGTGTAAACATGGATGTTTTCATAGATGCATTTCCAAAACACCTTGATTTAGGATGCGTTCGGAGATGCATCTCCGAAAGATATTTTGGAATTTTCAAAAGTTTACTTCATCCATATAAGAGTGTATTAAGATATTCTCTTCCTTGTATGTGTGAACTTTACAATAATAATATTCCTTTCTCTATTGAGACCAATGTATTTCCGAAATTAATTTAGTTATAAATTTTAGGTGTCTCAAAAATGAATAAATTATGTGTTGTTTTGGATGCGTCCGAATATGTATTTCCGAAATGTAAAAGTATTTTCCGAATTTCATGAGATGCACTATTAAACCATAAAGTGCATTAAGAAATTCACAAATTACCATCGGAACATGTCCATCCCAAAGTTGCTAACTTTTTTTCAAACAGCCAATGACTTGAAAAGCATGTCCTTTGTCAACAAAAAAAACATAAAGTTTGATATATCAAATCTATAATATGATTACACAAATAACTGTGTCACTGTAATATGGATATACATTATGGCGTTCATAGTTTACTACATGGATCTGTCACGTGCGATTTTCACAGTATCATAAGCTTCAAAGAACAAAAAAAAACAGGCAAGGATCTTAAATTCCCATAGTCTTCTCACCAGCCTTGGTAGATGAAGATTTCGGAGCAATGCTTGTAAGCCTATAGAAGCCTTTTTGCACCTTTTTAAGAAGAGACATAAACAAACACGTCCATCATAAGTCGAACTACACCTTTCTTAGAATAGATTGAAGAAATAATGAATGAGAACAAAACAAAACAATAATTGAGCTCACCTCGGCTGTTTTGTTGCCTCCAACTCCTCCATGTTTATCGGCTGCAAAAGGTTTTCCGTTCTTATCATAAACGACACGAATAGAGTCGATGCAACAATCATAAACTAGTGTGATTTCTCTTACCCCTGTAAAGGTTCCATCATCCCAACTAGCCCCTCCATTGCCTCCCCATGGTCCAACTATTACACTCTTCTTCTTACCTGTTCCTTCCTACAATATTGCAATAATAGTTGGTTTAGTTTAGCTCTAAAGAAATCTATCTAGAAATGTTAAAAACCAAGGAAACACAAACTAAAGAAGGAAAACAATAGTTGTGTTCAACTTAACTGCATCTTTCTTTGCACTTGTTGTCTTGGTTGACATGTTTTTACTCTGAAAACTCAAATTTTAACACACTTCATATTACAAAACTATGATTTTCCATTGGAGAAAAAGTTCTACTAAGAAACATTAAAAAAACTAGAAATACATATTACAAAATAAAAACAAAAATGATAGTGCTTATTTACTGTAATACGGTGAGAGAACTGACTTGGTTGTTTTGCGTTTGATCGCAATTGTTGCGGATAACAAGAGTCGCCACCGACTTTTCTTTTATCCAACAAAGGAAAAGTTGAAAAGAATAGGAAAGACCTTTAGAAATATTTTTCTTGAGTTCGGGAGATAGGTTATGAAAAGGGAAGGTATTAGCATCATTTTCATCTGTAGTTATCTACGGACTCTTAGTTGTTTGCTAGATCACTTGCTTTTGTTTGAAAATGTGCTTTATGGCGTGGATTTGAAAATATTTTGAAAACGTCTTTTTAATGATTCTCGTCTCTATAAGAATGCGTACAAAGTGTTGGTTTTGAAAATAGTTCAAAGAGATGTTTGTAGAAGATGTTCTTGAAAGTGATTTTGAAAAGTGCTTTTATAATAATTCTCGTCTCTATAAGAATGCGTACAAAGAGCTTTGACTTTTGAAAATATTTCAATTGAAAGTGTTGGTGTGAAAAATGTTTTTTTAATTGTGAGCAAGCAAGCAACTACGAGCGCTCTACCTACTCAAAAGATATTTGTTTTTTACCTCCTCCTTTAGATGTTGCTATCTTACCATTGATTGATAAGAAGCCCCATCGTTGGACATTTGTATAGTCATAGAAGGCAACCTATGAATGTTTTAACAATTTTCGTTAGGGACTAGATCGTTTACCGAAGGCAACATCGAGGATCATCGAGGGACTACGATCTTTTTATCGAGGGTCTTTGCTAAAACGCTCATATTCGAGGGACATGACTATTTTCCGAGGCAACAAGTGAGATTACCCTAGAGGTGCATGTGTGTGAATGATGTGTTTGATTGCATGCATTTTATCTTGAATTAAGGTTTTCTAAGCATTGATTTTAATCTTGCCATACACACCATAATTACTAACATTTATATGAAAATGATAAAGTGTGGAAAGTAAATTTACTATGCTATTACATCACTTGGGGATGGGGATACAAATGTACAAATATGGATTGCAAGAAATAATATTCTAATTATCTATTATAACCATATTGAATGTGAATAAATGTACAAAAATTGGAATGAAAAGAAAATGAACTTTGTTTTGATTTTTTTGTTAAGGAAAAGATTTTAGTTCATTGAAATAATTATGAAAATAAAATATTTTTTGTGATATTTTTATATATTCATAAAATAAAACTTGTAAATAAATAGTATGTAAAAAAATCAACTCAAAAGGAGTTGTTTTGATTAGTTGGAAAAAAATTTGAAGTTTGTTAGAAAAAAGGAGAAAGGAAACAAACAAAGGGTAAAAACTGTTTTGGTCCTGCCAAGGTTTGAACTCATGACCCTAAACAGAAATGTCTTTCGCACACGTTGTTTGTACCACTGGAGTGGTCTGTTTCATCCGTTCATAAGCCTGTCTAAAATTTGAAAATGAAACTAACAAGTGTAGCTTTCGAAAGCTACAAGCCAAGGGTTAGCACAAGTTTGTTTGACACCAAAATCAAAAGGCTAACCAGTCAGAGTTGAGATTCTCAACATATATGCAGTGAGAATCGAAAGTTAAGGCATGATCAACTTCCTAGATATGATATCTACATTTTTCTTTTATTTATATATACAAATGATGTTTGAAATGAAAGTTTCAAGTTTTAAGAAACTTATCTCTTTAAGTGTCAATCGAAGGAGTTGTATGTGACTTCCTTGGCGGTGGATGGAGCTTCACTGGAACCTTCCTAGAGCTAGTTCAGTTGCTGTTTTGTTTGGGAAGTCGCTGAATCGAAGGTGGGTGTGTAATAGTGGTGAGTAAATAGAAGGTTATTATATAACAGTATAGAGAGTGAATCGAAAGACTATTATGTTGCAGTTGGGGAATGAATCGAAGGTTGGTTATCTGGCAATTGGGAAGTGAATCGAAGGGTTCACTAATGCATGAAGGGATCTGGGATTTTTTGTGAGAGTTTTAGAGTTTGAATGTTTGAGAATGTTTGATAAATGTTTGAAAGTGTTTGATAGTTTGAGAGTTTGATAGTTTGAGAGTTTGCGAGTTGATGATTTTTCCCACGCCACAAAAATCTGGCCCTTGATTTGTAAATGATCTCTCTATTTATAGAGAAAAAGTTTGGAGTAAACAGATTTGTAAAATAATAAAATATAGTTTGGTTGAAAAGCAAATATCCACTTGTGTCAACTTTTCATGATCCCAAGATGAAAATACCAAAATTAATGGTTTAGATGGGTTGCTTCTAGCTTATAGGGGACATGTGTGCAGAAGGGACTGGCGCAAGGCTCAATAACTTTAAGGGCAAGTTGACTTGGAAAGCACTTGGGTCAGAATTTAATTTAATTGTATAAACAATTAAATATGGAGTGAGGCACAAGTTGGAGGCCTAAAAAGCAAGATCACGTATCCTGGCCTATGGATCATGTTTTCAAACTTGATTCTTTGAATCGAATACTCCATCTTTCGTTTTGGTCATACAAATCCAGCCTTCGACCAAACTCAAGAGCAAACGAAATTGAATGTCCTCAACAAAAGCATGTTCTTCGAATGAGCCACCAAATGTGTGTCATTCGAATCCATCAAATTGTGTTTCATAGTGTAGAAACTATGTGTGTTGAAGGTTTTAAAGGTGGAATCGAAGCAAACATAAAGGGAGTCATTGCCTGGTGCCTGTTTAGCGGGAGGGAAATCCCTGCTTTGTGAATCAAAGCAAACATGTAAGGGACCAATGATGCAATCGAAACTTGCATGCAGGAGATCACATGGCCAAACGAAGGATGTATACCAATCTTGCACGAAGAAACTAAATGTTCAAACGAAGCAGAAATCAAACTTGCTCAAAAGAAATCCAATGCCCAATCGAAGGAGGAATCAAGCTTGTCCAAAAGAAGTCAAATGCCCAATCGAACCAAGAATCAAGCTTGCTCCAAAGAAGTCCAATGCCCAATCGAAGCAAGAATCAAGCTTGCTAAGAAGAATGCCCAATCGAAACAGGAATCAAGCTTGTCCAAAAGAAGTCAAATGCCCAATCGAAGCAGGAATCAAGCTTGCTCAAAAGAAATCCAATACCCAATCGAAGCAGGAATCAAGCTTGCCCAAAAGAAGTCAAATGCCCAATCGAAGCAGGAATCAAGTTTGCTCAAAAGAAGTCCAATGCCCAATCGAAGCAGGAATCAAGCTTGCTCAAAAGAAATCCAATGCCCAATTGAAACAGGAATCAAACTGCCCAAAAGAAGTCCAATGTCCAATCAAAGCAGGAATCAAGCTTGCTCAAAAGAAGTCCAATGCCCAGTCGAAACTTCTGGATCGAAGCAAACTGTTTCAAAGGGAGACACTGCCTAGTTGAAGCTAGCATGAATCGAAGCAATGCCCAGTCGAAGCTAGTATGAATCGAAACAAGCTTGTTTTTCTTCAATTTTATTACAAAATCAAATTTATCTGCTTTGTTCTTTCAATACTTTTCTCTTTGACTTGATGGTTAAAAATTCAATATGATCCAATTATACTTGTGCAGCCTTGACCCAGTAGGAATTTTGTGAGAAAATTTTTGAGAAATGAGAAGGCAAATTTTAGAATACAACATTTACAATAAAGAATATTGACTAACAAAGAGGTGTATCCCAGAGATTGGAAGAAGCAAGTATAGTTTGTTTTGAAAACACAACTATTATTTGTAAATTGTAATGGAGAATGATGTTAATAAAACCAACCAAATTGGCAGCAGCATCTGATTCAAGCAGTTTTGAAAGAATAACACTTTTGCTTTAATAAAGCATAATAAGTAATGGCAGGACAGATTTCACATTAAAATACCTGATATATCAAATATAGTCATTTAGATGTGTTACGTTTGGTGAACCAAAATCTAAACTTCTAGCTCAAAATACAAAGAATATTCCCCCAAAAGAGATGCCAATGATCACTAAAAACTACATTTTCATATAACAGTAAGGAGGGGGAAAAAATGGAGAGAGAGACGGATGGACATACATTAATGCCATAGGAACAAATTCCAAAGCACAACTTCATCCAAACTATTTGCTGTCTATTAATGACTGCACAATTATTTCATGTCTCCAGAACAGGTTCATGAGTATCCCAGTTTAATCTAAAATGAGTCAACTGACGCGGCTCGGTTGTAGAATATGACAGCTGCAACCAAAAATATAATGTAGAAGTGATTTCATCTTCAGAGGCTTCCACAATCTCAAGCATGTCTTCCCAGTTCTCATTCTTAACCTCCTTCAAGAAATGCCGCCAGCATTTATTTTTCGAAGTGTTATATCTGCAACAGATAGGATCCTCATCTTTGATCTTCATCATTTCGTATACTGACTGCAATCACGTTTTTGAAAAAGTTAATCGCAAAAACAGACTATCTGGCGAGTAAAATGTTTTGCTTTATCGCTGATAACAGATATTAAAAAATCAACCTTGGAGTATCTTATGTATTAAAAAACCAAAAAAGAGCTGTCATACCTCAGAGAATTTGCTGTCAGAGGAAGAAATTATAGATACAGACACTGGGTGTAACGTCCGCAATAAACCATACAAAACATCCTGAATACATGCTGATGATTTGATAATCTCAAAGCTCAGGTCATGCAAAGGAGGGAATTTGACGTTGCTCAAATCTTCATGAATAATAATATTCTGGAATAAGCAGAGACAAGTAAGAAAAATAAATGGCAATTCATCAAGAAGGCGACTCAAGTATGGCGTAAATGTTAGAAGTTAAAAGAACAATACCTTCTTAGAATGCATAATCAATTTAAACCCTTCGGAACTGAACTTCAATATAAAAGGTCTCATCATATGCCACAGTTTGTTACCAATTCCGAGTCCAATGTGTCTATGTTCAGATTT